GTGCTAGAAACATGTCACAGCAGGAAAAATTAATGGTGAATGCCACAGGAAACTGTATYACACAGAAGTATTTCTGAAGGGGTTGGAAATGACACATTAGCATGTGCAAGACTAGTCAGAAAACGTTCTGTGGATAAAAGCGATTGATGTAAAAAGAAGACCGTCAACAAATTTTGAAAGAGCTATCCTAAAAGAAGGTCAGTTTTAAGGGCATTTGCTCATWTTCTCATCAGAAAAGAAAGCATAAGGTTCTCATTTCTGGTAGAATACTGAAAATGGAGCGCAAGGCACAGTGGAAAAAGAAAGAACGCTTCTACACACATTCACATGCCAAAAGCTAATGGGGAACCTGCTTCATAGCTTTATTTATAAGTTTACCTTCATTATCAGTTTACAATTGTAGACAAAGATAATTTTGTACAGAATCAGACCCAGGCAAGCGAAGCAGAGATAGTCTGCTGATCGCTRGCAGAGAGACAAGGTCCTGCTTCTCAAAGACAATCACCTTCACATTTAATCCAAATCATCAGATATTCAAGATCAAAATTAAAGAGTTTCCTAACAACATTTAAACATTGAAAATGTTGTGTRTCTACACAGCCAACAAGGAAGAACTTCTAGCCTTTAGTAGATGAAAGCATTTCCCCACGGGGCTAAGAAGAGAAGTGTCTGTCCAAGAAACAAAATAACCACTTGAACATTTGTATTTTCAAGCTATTACAATGGAAGTTAAAATAATAGAAACAGAGCTGTTATGTTAATGCAGCCGTGCTATCATTCATGAAAATGGCTAAAATATTCCAGCTGCATTAACTTGTTTTCCCAAGTCTCCCCGTACCATCTTCCATATCCTAATACATCTTTGACATTAACACAGATTCTCCTCTTTGTAAAGTAATTCCCTATGAGATCTTGTTCTTTCTTTTCAAAGTATGATGATAGTGAGAAATACAAATTTCAAGTCTCTGAGTCTCTTTCTAAAGATGGGTAGTGTTAAAAAATTCCACCTGACACCTGCTTCTAATTTAAGATGAGCCAAGCTAGCTCTGCCGCGTCTAGCAATTGCTTTCCAGCTGATGGACAAGGAACATTATGTCAAAAAAAAAAAAAATTAAAAAATCCAATCAAACCAAAAACCAAACAAACAAAAAACCAAACCCAACCTTATCTGAAAAATAACAGAAGCCAATGAGATCCTATGCAAGTAATTTTCATGTGAATTTTCATGAYGCATTGCTCATGTTGCCTCCTCGTGCAACAAGAACACATGATAAAGTCAGAGGTTTCATCTACACAAGGAAATCAGAAACTCTGCTATGAAACAAAAGCTTGAAGAGTCACAGCTCTTGAAAGCTATGTACTCAAAAGATATTCTGAGTCTTAAAGTAATTCAGAAGATTTTTACTACATTATATGTAGGGCACACAAGTCCCTAGCATGCATCAAGACTGCTCATATGGCAGATCTTAGGCTAGAACCAGTTTTGGTGGAGGGATGAGTTACTTGAGGAAGAAAATACCCTTTTCCACCATAAATTATTCTTATGGATTTCTCAGAGTCTTGGAAAATTGGCACCAGGGGAAAAGACAACATACATGACACACTATTTGTACAAAAACTCTGATATTAAACTAGATATATATTTAAAGACTGTCAGTAAGGACAGTCAGTATTGATCAGTGAGTGGAACAATTCATAAGGAAATGCTGCCTACTGATGTCTATTTATTGCACTGCACATAACTGAAATGCTCACTTCAGATTAAGGAGAGTGCATTGACACAGCAGAGTACCCAGGGTCTCCCTACCTTACCTTGGGGGCATGAAGATTTCAGTCCTATAAACACACAGTACCTACAAAAACACATTTCTTGTCCTGGTCAGAGAGGCACAGACACTGACAAAGCCCACATTTCACCAACTAYTGAAAGGCATCCTCTCCCCAAAGACAAGAACCCACAATCCTCCACCTTTTCCTTAGCCGAACTGTTGAGAGTTTAGTCAGGCAGATCACTCAACACTAAAGGCAGCTTAGAAACACTGGAAGACATATACCTTGCCTGAAGTCCTAAGAATATAGCCTTTCATTATTTTAATTGTCATAGCAATAGAAGATTAAATATGTGTGGCATTTTCTGGAAACTAACAGATTATTTTCTTTCCAAATAGTGTATACTGTTGTTTGCTACAATTACCACTTCAGGAAAATCTGCCGTTTACAGTGTGAGAGAACACAGACATAGTCAGCTCAAAGAAAGAAGAAAAACTCATAGAATATGCATCATCCTCRTACCTGGAAGAAATTCAAATGGAAACGTTTCTGATGAACAAAGTTGGCACATGGTATGTCAGAGATTTCTGTCTCATTTAGTGKGTTCCTGCAGTTGGGAAAGCAAAAGTATCTAGCTTGAACTGTGGTGGACGAAATGAGTAGAAGAACTTAATGAAATGCTAGCAAAATCCAGCATGGCTTTGTTATTTATGGAAGTATGAAGGGTGGTAAATAGTATTAATTTGTACCTGCACAGGCTTAACAACTGAACAATAAAAGGGTGTGATCACTATTTTTAAATATACTAAGAACAGAACATTCCTTCAACAATATTGTTTAACTACAGTCATGACAGAACATTATGGGGTTTGTGCTTCTCTTTGCAACAGTTGAGATGATACAAGTACGTATGTGCAAAGACAACAGAATGCATCACCTCAGTTCAAGACAATGAAAAATTGTACTGATGATTTATAATAAAACAGCATTTCCCCCCTAATACTGTGGACCACCCTTTGTAATGGGAAATTATTTCCAAGATTTTCATGTAACAGTTTGTTTTCTTCAACATTAGCTTTGGACTGACTGTGGGATTCTGGCTCCAGAACTGAATTTCATCCAKCTGAATTAAGGTCAAAATCAGTATTCCTACTGTGCAAGGGAAGTATAAATCCTGCTGGGGAAAAAAAAAAAAATGCACTGTTAACTTCTTCTGGAAAGGAGAAAAAAAAAAGCAAAGTAAATAAAATGCTATTCACATGATATGACAGTACTTCTATGAATACATTAGTACTTAAGCACTAGTTTTAAAAACAGTTGAAAGTTCAGAAGTGAAAACTGAAGATCTGACATATGAAGGTTTGGATTAAACAAATGCACACACATTTGAATACTAGTTATATGTTAACAGTTATTATGCACACATATTATTAATGCTCAGCTATAGACATACGGGAGAAAACTTTCAAATAAATATTATGAATGTCTGAAAGGTCATTTCTTCTTAAAGGATGAAACCAATCCCATGATAGCACTTGTACTTAATATTGCCTATGTCTACAGTGTATGTTGAATATAAGAATAAATCTACTGTTAAAAGACAGTATTTAAACATGCCCTGTTACCTATAGCCTGCATGCCAGGCTCCCTAGCTGACAAATTCATACAAACTATATTGCTACCCTCCCTATAAGACTCTTACTTGCCAGACCTTGGGTTTTAAAAGTGAGACAGGCAGATAAGAGGTCTGTGTCAATTTACACTAGCAGAAGGACAAATTTCAAAGGTCTTAACACTGTGCCTCTCAAATCATATAAGTTTTTCTAGTAATTTCACAAAGAGCAAGACTCCGTGCATGTCTGTTATATGAACAAAATCATTGTGCCAATGTAAGAGAKCAACCTCTGCACTCAGAGCCTGCAGAAGTTGCCCACTGCTTAATGCTGTATTGGGATTAACTGGCACTTACAGCCCACTGTAAATTGGTTTGTTTGTTTTTAATTTAAACATGCTAACAAGGTGGTAAAGCTTGTATTATTATTGCCAAAGCTCTGAGAAATGTACACTGTGAAAAAATGTGGACAGTTTAGAGAAAGAGGCTGTGAGAAAGGAACAGAGAGATCTTGGGGAGATAGATGTACCAATTGCAGCCTCATGATGCTTCCTCTGGTAAAGGAAGCCACTTAATGGTGATGCGTATCAAAGGCAATTTTTTGCATCGGGAAGCAAGTTAAGTTTCATCACATCTCCTCAAACAAGGAAAAAGTYTCTAAAACAATACACTTAACCTGAAGAGCTGCCATGAATCAAAAAGACATTCATTTCTTATSATGCCAATATTCCATAAGAGCATTCCACAGTTTGTGGGTTTATAAAAAGTTATTAAGACTGAAAGATTTTTACAGCTCCTACAGAATTTGATGTAGCAGGTGCAGATGCTGGATTCCTATGCCTTGGAGGCACACAATTTTATACAGGATACATTCAACCAAGATCAACAATCACTGTAGCAAGTAAATTGCTGGTCACAGCTTATGTAAACTGTAAGAAACTAAGAGACACTTAATTTTAGAAGGACACACCTGTGCCTAAATTAAACTACAGAAAACATTCTAGCAAATACCAGCTGCTATCTTCATTTGTTAAAGAAGTACCTTTAGCGTTATAAAAATCGGTGTAACATGAGCAGCTACTACATAAAACTTGCAAGAAGTGAGTATTTCTCGTAAGAAGCTTAAAATATATTAGAGCTTTAGCATGTCTGAAACCTCATTCCAGTCAGACACCTCAGAGAGGACAGGGTGCTGGTAAAGAGGTCTGGAAAAAGCTTGAGATGTTCCCTCAAACCACAGTTCATCTGAATCAATTATTGGTTTGCATTAATATGTATTTTGCTTAAGTCTACAACTACAGTTAATATCTTACCAAAAAACAATTGCTGAGAGAGTAAGAAAGAGCTCATAGAGTACCATCACCTGTCACCCCTCATCTTATTTAAAATTGTGTTGATATCAAACGTTTTCTGACAGCGACATGACATGAAGCCGCACACTGCCGCAGCCTGCCTTCCCTCCCGCAGCCGCAGCCCAGCGTCCGTCCCTCGCTCGGACCGACCTCGCCGCACAAGTTTATGAGGAAAGGGGCAATGCGTGGCATTTAGGTCCCAGGCGAGGTTTACTGATCGGGCTGTTACGCCAGTCCGGCGGCACAGGAACAGGCTCCCTTCCCACCCCGACACCAGGAACAGCCGCGCACTCCGCACCCGCCGCCCCCCAGCCGCTCACAGCACGGGAGCCGCGTCCCGCTGTCCGCACCTGCCCCGCTCGCTCCCACCCCGCTTCCACAGGCAGTGCGAGGCAGCGCAGCGAGGGACAGGCACGGAGCACCGCGACAGAGCTCCGCGGCAGCGCCGTAAGGGATCTCCGCGGAGCCCCGCGGCAGCACGGCCGGGGCGCGCCGCCTCCCCAGCGGCGTGGAGCACTGAACCGCGCCGAGCGCTTCGCCTTCCCGGCGCAGGGCGGGGAGCCGGGAACACCCACCGGGGATGGCCAGGTTGGTGAGCGGGGTGCTGTGGAGGCTGCCGGGCAGCGCTGCCATCCAGTCGGCGAAGAGCAGCTCGTTCTTTCCCTGCGACGAAGCCATGCTGCCGCCGCAGCCGTGCCGCCGCCGCCGCTCGCTCCAACTCGCCCGGTCCCGGCCACTGCCACTGCCACAGCCCCGCCGAGCCCGGGCCCCGCCCGCCTGGCACCGCCTCCGCCCGCCCCGCCGAGCCCCCGCCGCCTCCCCGCGGCGCGGCGTGCGAGCCCTCGGGGCCGGCTCCGTCGGGCTGGGAGCGGGCACTCTCCGGGCGATCCCGCACCAAGGACGGCGGGGGCTGCGCGGGGAGCGGCGTCACGGCCCGGCCGCACCGCACCGGCCCCGGGCACCCTCCGGGCCCATCGCCCGGCCCGGGCCGGGGAGCGCCAGCAGAGCCCGCCCGGGAGCGCGGGGCTGGCCCCGGCCCGGCGTCTCTGCCCGGGATGGTGCTCGGGGCCCCGTGTGGCGGCTGGTGGCCCTGGGCCTCAGCAGAACCTCCCTGACCTTGGCGATGGCTCAGCTGAGAACCCAGCGCCGTACCAGCGGCGTCCCTCGCAGCCGGCTCCCGGGCAGCCTTGTCTGCCTCTCCTAATGTCCCTTTTTGCAATGGGTTGCTCCCATGAGGAAAAAAAAAAAAAAAAAA